CGTTGCAAAAGAGCAAAGCCAGGAGCAGAGCTGGAAGGACGTCATGTCTTCAATGGGAAGAAGGAAGCAGGCCTGGGGGGCCTGGAGGCATGCGGGGAGCCGTCAAGAGGGCTGTGCCATCGAGTCACGTGACTGGATCACGGCTTCAAGGCATCACTCTGTCTGCTCCACTGGGGATAGACTGTTGGACTACGAGAAGGTGGCAGCAGGGGAAGGCGACAAGAAGGGGTCAGATTGTGAGTCTGTTGGCTTGCAGCTTTATTTAATATGTGTCTCTCCCATTAATTTATGTCTCACACCTGGCTTGTCTCCCACGGTCTCCCCGGCACCTGGGTGATCACTGAAAGTTCGTGTCCTTGGGAAGCAGCCGACGTTCATTCATTCATTTCCCTGCATAAATATTTATTGAGCACCTAGTATGTGCCAGGCATGGTACTGGGTACTTTTCATACATTACTCAATGTAATCTTCATGGTGCTGGTGAGGTGCCAGCCAGGGGCCCCTCTGCTCGCCTGGTTTTGCAGATGAGGGAGCTGGCATCCAGGGAATAAAAGGCACCCACTTGGGGCAGGGTAGCAGTCGGTTATGCACCAGGAGTCACGTCTAGGCTTGTCTGGCTCCAGAGAGGCCTGCCCGAAGGACAGGGATCACTGGAGATTTACAGGTTCTAGACCACCAAGAAACAGTCTTGGTGTTCAACCGTCACACCGGGAACCTCCCATACCCCGGATGTGTCCTATGACCTGGCGGTCACTCGAGGCCCAGATTGGGAGGATTGCCTCTCCAGGCCCCCCCCCCCCCCAACTCATGTGCAGAAGCAAGCACATCTCTCTTCAGGCCACAGTGTCCTCATCTGCAGAACAGCAATGTACCTCCTACATGGCTCTGAGGATTGAATGATGTACGTGCCCAGCAATTTCGATGTTTGACAGATCTCCCCGCCACGAGATTCTAAGCTCCTTTTTTTTCACAATTGTAATTATTTTTTATTTTGTTTTTTTCCTAATATAATTTATCATCAAGTTTAGCTAACATACGGTGTATACAGTGTGCTCTTGGCTTCGGGAGCAGATTCCACTTGTTGGGACGAGCCCTGGGTGTTGTTCGTAAGCACTGAATCGTGGGAATCTAAGCTCCTTAAGGACAGAGCTGTGTCTCATGTGCCCCCAGTGGCTAATTCGGGGCCTTGAATACAACAAGTGCTTATTAATGCTGGATGAATTCATGAAAAATATGCATTGTTTAGGCCCCAAGGAATCTCAAGCTCTCTCTTCCTGAGAAGAGAAGGTATTGATATTGTTAAAGGGGTGAGTTCTGAGTGAGTCTGTCCCCTGTTATCACCATCACTGTCATCCAAGCCTCCCTTCCAGGGCAAGGTGCCCCCGGGACGGGCACCAGGGACTGTGTGGGAAGATGTCCTTGGCCAAACTCCACCCCAGGATGGACGGAAGCTGAAGTCCAAGTATTCTGGCCAGGAGGGAACCGGGCTGAGGAGGAGGAGGGAGGGAGTGTGGGTGGCAGCTGAGACGGCTCAGGAAATGAACTCCGCCACCTTGTTCTACCCCTGGGAGTGGCGAGGCTTTGCTCAGGCCACCAGGACAGAGAACATTCCTGAGAGAGGGTGGCTGGGGGTCCAGCAGCTCCCTCCTGGCTCCTTATCTGCCTCCTGCCGTCAGTCAGCCTGCCTCGATAAGGCAGGGCTGAGAGGCGTCTGGGCCAGAACCACAAGAGAGAACATAATTATAAAGACGCTGCTGTGGGGCAGAGAGGGCGGGAGCCCCGGAGGAGCCACGCAGGGCCATGAGGAAGGCTTGCAGGGGAAGACTTCCCTTCCTTGGGAAAAGGCAGCGCAGTAGCACGCGTTGATCGGGCTTTGCTTGGCTCGCGCTCCACATGGAGGAAAACCTGCCTTGAACTTGACCTCAAATGTGTATTCCCCACCCTTTGACTTTGCTTCCCTGCCGGAGTCCAGCTCCTGCAGGTCCAGGGGTTCCCAAAGGATGAACGGCGTCGGCGAAAAAGTGAAAATAAAATAAAACAAAAATAAAAGTGGACACAGACCACAGCAGTGTGTTGGACTGGCCGCTTTATCGTGGCAAACGTGGCATTATGTTTGCTAGCAATTTCCTTGTAGCGTGCGTCATCTATGTTTTCTGGGCTTTACCTAATTCTAAAATGTCCCTGTGTGTAATCACCCTTTAAGGAATAACATGGTTATTTTCTCATAACGCTCCCTCCTGCCCTTTGCTTATTGATTAATTTCTTACATTATTTTCATGACGTATCTACATTTATCTGTAATCTATAAAGCATTTGCTTTGCTGTTTTCATGAAAGGTCATCTGTCTCTCAACATCTCAAGTGGGACAGTTACAGGGACATGACCTCTTAGTTGTTTCCCTGAACCACTTGTGGTTTGAGGAACAAAAGTGTTCGCCTCGGTCTGAGGTGCCAGGAGGGGGCCAAGAGGGCCTTAGGAACCCACGCCTTAGGGCGTTCTCAGAGAGACCATGCACCTAGGAACTTATGAACCATTCTGCACCTTAACCAACTAGGTTCAATCATCATCTGGAATGCCTCCTGGGGGCCAAGTGGGCCTAGGGGTTGGAGTAATTTGTGCCCATAGATATGCTCCTTTGTTGCCGGAGTGGGGCTTTCAACTCCATTTGTCTCTCCTTGGCTGGGAGATATATGGGGCTATCCTTCCTTTAGGTAGAGGAGTCTTTACAGGGGGTGGCAAGGGTTAAATGTAGGGCCGTGCAATTTCCTTGCGGAACCTTATTTTCTTTCCCCAGTAGTTCTTTTCCCAGGGGGCCTGTCGAGGGCAATTCCCCAACAGACAATTCCCCAGGTTCTTTTATTTAAGGCCAAATTACATAAAAGCGGG